GCATGAGAAATGAGGGGCCCTGAATGCTGTCCTCTGTGTTCCTCTTGTCCTGCTTTGCCGCTCCACAGAGCAGCAACGGACTGTCTCAACAGTCTTTTTCTTACTGACTTTATTGGGGTGACATTGGTTAATAGAGTTATATAGGTTTCCGGTGTACAATTCTATAACACATCGTCTGTATATTATATTGGGTGTTCCCCACCCCAAGCCAAGTCTCCTGCCATCACCGTTTGTCCTCGTTTACCTTCTCCTGCCTCCCCCACCCGCTTCCCATCTGGGCACCACATCACCACACTGTCGTCCGTGTCTAGGAGGTTTGGGTTTGTTTTCTTCCTTTTCCCTTTTTCACCCAGTCCCCCAACACGCCTGCTCTCTGACAGCTCTCAGGCTGTTCTCTGAATCTATGAGTCTATTTTGTTTGTTAGTTTAAAGGGAATAGTTGCAAAGTACAGGGCGCAGTGATTTTTTAAAAGATAAAGGAAAGCAGTACAATTTTAACCTTTTCACGTTGCCAAGAGAAAGAGTGAGAAAAATATTTTCTGCAAAATAAAAATGTAATTGGGTTCAAGGAAGGCGGGATACAACAAGGGTAGGAAAGTCATTGCTCTTTCGAAACATGGATGGGCTGCCTCGAACTTCTCGCTTCCCGCCGTGTCAGGGCTCGCCGTGCGGAGCCACGGGCCCTGGCCAGGCGCCACCGACCTGCATTTGCTGTTCTAATTTGAGTGGCTCCTGCTGTAGAGAAGATGTCTCTGGTATCCAGCGGATACAGAGACGATAGATTACTTACGGTGTATGTGAAAGCAGAGTGAAACCAACCTCAGTTTATTTCTCTTCCTGTTTTTGCTTTTTGTCCATTTCATTTAAAAATTGCAAGAATTTTAACCAATTTACGTCCAAAAGCTACCTCGAGCCCGTTTCAGTCTTTGATGGCTTTCCTTCACAATACTAAAACACAAAGTCACTTAGGCATGATGTGTTAGGCTGAGAAGCCTTTAGCAGTATAATTATTGAAATTCTCTTCGTTGCTCTCATGTTTCTATGGCTTGAAAGCAACTGTCTCATTTAAGGCGAGTTCTAAGTGGCTGGGTTCTCTTGGACAGAAAGAATAGTCTGGTGCCGAAGATTATTGCTGAATCATTGTTACACTTCAGGTCTGTCGTGTGAGCAGCACCGTGGTAACAATTCTTCAGCATATTTCTAGGTAAGGAGAGAGTGCTTTCTCAATCCGAGCGTGCTAGGGCATCTTGCAATGTACTTATCACACAAGTAGGACCTCTTTCAAGTTCACAGTCACCGTCAGGTGCCACGGGGGCCATGCCACCTCGTTTAACTGTTACTCAAGTGTCTGACTCGAGTGTAAACATTCTGTTCAAAAGCTGCACGGCCTCATTTATATCCTCCTCCCTTCTCAATCCAGCAGTGCAGAGCAGAGAAATGCAGGGTTCCGATGCACAGCAATTGCTACTTTGTTATTCCATTCAAAAAATGGTCTGCTAAAAATCTTGTAAAAGAAAAGGGTTCACTTTCGTACTATCAAGGTCATTACTGAACTCAGTTCCTTCCGTTTAGAAGCACAGAGATGCCCTCTAGCAGCCGGCCCCAGGAATGCCCTCCATGGAGAAGGTTCTTCTCTCTAACACAGAGCAATAATTGCATTTCTACAAGGTTTCTGTTTTTAAAAAAACTTACTGAATGAATGATGATTTGGCATATTGCCTATACTTCAGACACTCCATTACAGATGAAATTAATTAATATCTCTTAAAATAGGCAAAGTGATATACCCATGAGTTCTAAATGGAACTGGAAACTTGTTAATAAGATTTTAATTAAGGAAACATAATTCTCATAATTTTCCTGAGAGGAAAATTGATAATCTGTCTCTATAAAAATACAAATAATTAGTGGTGAATTGCTTTCCTTTGCTGAAAGAAAATACTGATCTTGCTAATTTTCTGATGTATGAAATGACAGAAAAGAAAGAAGTACATGCTGAAAGTAAGTTCATTTTATCAATATAGAAGCATGGGCCTTTTTTTTTTTTTTTTAACAATTTAAAGATAAAACTGGGTTTCAAGTAACTTGTCTTACCATAAGGTGGCGATACTTAAGCACTTTATAAAATGTCATGCAAGATCTACAAGTTTCAATCTTAAGGAAAAATGATCACAAATGTAAATATTACATAGTGTTCTATGAAATGGAATTGGTCTTGTTAGAAAGATTTTTTGTTTTCAGGTAAATTAATATACAATATACACTCTCTAAGATTTAGATTTATAATATTTGGTATATGTGTCAATCCTATACCTGAAAAAAAAATTTATTCAATTTTAAGAGCCCTCCTGTTTTGCCAGTATATTCATGTATGATTAGACATATGCTTACTGTAAACACAAAGCGTAATAACATAGAAGACTTACTGAAATGAATTTATTTTAAAATGTTATTATGAAATATATCAGTTCTAATGTATTAATGACAATCAGCTGTTTAAACTTAGTGTACACTCAAGTGTTATCACTTAACTATTACTCATTTGTCCCAAAATTGTGGTCTCATGCGGTAATCTATTATGGGATTTTTAATTTCAGTGTTGCTGAACATAATTTGCAGTATGAATGCTAATTTTATTAAGTAAACCCTTAAGTAGTGTGTACAATAATAAAAGTTGAGAAAATTCTAGTTTATAATAACCTAACTGGCCATCTGAGAATTGAATGGTGCCATTGTGATGGCGGACAGGGGGACAGAGTGTGGTGACCAACACTAGTTTGATTAAACATACAAAAAAAGGAGCTTTTATTTACTTTCTAAGCAACATTTTGTCTCCTGGTCCAAAAACTTTTTATAGCATCGAAAACACTTGCTTTGAACATTTTAAGATTCTCTCTAATGCCACACGTGGCGTGGAACAAATGGCCGTCTTCTCGTCTTTGCACACTGTGTCCAGTGTCCACAGCTGAGAAAGGACAGTTTGAAAGTTCGTGTGTGTGCCTCTCTTCCCTGAACGTCTCAGCTCCACACAGCCACCGCGAAGCCTCAGGAAAGTTTCATACTGCTGAATACCCAGAGATAAATTTATCAATACTAGAGAAGATCGAATTGGCTAAAACTGGGTCGTTTATTTGGAGCACCTATCTCAATATTTAACAGAACCTCTTTTTTGTATACATACATTTAATTTGGGAAGGAACAGTGCAAGGAGCGAAGATATTTATGCACTGACGATATCAGACAAACCACAATGCAGTTGTTAGTAAAGCTGTCCAGTTCCCGAATTCATTTTGAAGAATGACAAAACTCACATTAAGTCGAGAGTTGTTTTTTTTTTCCTGCAGTAACTCAGCAATTAGGTTTGTTTTTAAAAAATGTTGTACCAAAAATATTACAAATGAGGTGCATGATGGAATTTGTTTAAAAGTTTTAACCAACGTAATGTAATAATTGTGGCAGCAGAATGTGTACTATAGACCAAGAGGCAAGAAGAAACATAAGATTTAGAAAATAGAACACCAGAAACAACACCTCGATGTAAAATGCTGTAAGGCTGTCTCTTAGTATGTAAAATGTCCTATTAAGATCATCAGGGTGACATTCACACTGAAGATTTCAGTGGCAATATCAGCATGACCGCAACGTTAAAATAAAATGATTTTATTCCCATCAGGTCTCTCGAAACATGAAAAGTGCCCAGGAATAATTACGAACCTGTATGATGTGAGTCTAAGTTTTCACTATATACTGTACGAGGCCTAGAAATATTCAGTCAGCTACAGTATTAGATGGAGCTTGGTTACACCTTAATTAGTTCTATTCAGTTTTGAAAGGAAACTTAATTCCTCTCCACCGCTGAGATGATGTAAAGCTTTAAAAATAACTTCACAATATTCCAAAACACAGCTTTAAATGGTTTTGTAACCGCGCACCATTTTTTTTTCCCCCTGCCGTGTCAAATTGCTCTTGACCGGTCAAGTAAGTAACATCATTTTTAAAAATGGTCACTCTTAACTCTTTGCACGAGCGAGACGCCTTCCGGCTCATTCCGGATAACCGAGGTTTTCGCACAGTGCTGAAGCTCTCGCACGATTCCCCTTTATCATCAAGACTTTCCTCCCGCACCGCCGCCGACAACACTTCCCCCGATTCTCCTGCCTTTTTAGAGAAAGAGCTCGGCGGGCGCTTGCGTTGCCGGGGCTGGATCCCTCTCGGAGTTCAGCAGCTCCGCGACCCCGCGCCCTCGCGAGGGCCCTGCCGGTTCCGAGGGCTCTCAGCTCCTGCTGCTCAGCACTGGCAACGAGAACTTCCCCAGCGCCGCCTCATTTCCTTCGTGGAAAGAAAGAAGCCAAGAAACACAAGCCCCTTTCAGCAGCCTCCCGCCGCCTCTCAGCTGTGGCGGAGGGGATGGCCCTGCCTCCCTGCCGTGTGTGTCACCAGCAGCATCCCCAATGTTTTGGACACAAACCGCAGCACGTCTGCCATGGGAGTATTCCCCACCGGGGTCCGCGGGCGCGCGGGGGCGGGGGGAGGTTGGTGTAGGGAAGGAAAAAAAAAAACCCCAAAAAACAAACCCAAAACGCTCCTCTGCTTTCAACAAAGAATCGGCTCACCATCTCCTAACCCATGTTTACAAATCGCATTGTTTCAGCCGCGAACTCCTGGGCGTTATTACCCGAGCGACTCCAGAAGAGCCCATTAAGCACTTGGCCCCAGAAAGAGCCCTGGTCCCCGGAGAGCCGCATCGCCCGCTGCCCCTGCACCTTATTACACTCGCGGCCGGCCCCCCGCCCCCCACCCCGGGACGCTGCCTCGAGGAGCTAGTCCTCCGCGAGGTAGTTCACCTTGTTATCTCCAAGGAGTGCGAATACGCCAGGCATCACACGACAGCCTGGACAGGCGTCTCCCGGGCCGTCCGGGAGGTCTATTTGTTTGCCTTTCTGGCCGGTCTGTCTCCTGGGGCACCCGGCTTCAAACAAGAGTTAAAACACTGCCCATACCTTGGAAGGGTCTAACCCGGCCAGCAGAGCCAGCAGCAGCAGATTGAGTAGCTTGGACGTCGCCTGCATCCTGATCCGGGTTTGTGCCCCCTCTTCACTCTCTTTTATGTGGCCACTCCAGTGTCACTGCGGAGACCTTCCCCTCGCCAGCCAGTCGCACTTTCTGCCCGCCAGCCGGAGCGGAGCGGAGCGGAGCCGGAGGCGGCGGCGGGAGCAGCAGCCGCGGCAGCCGCCCTGGGGGGCGATCATTCCGCAGGCATCTCGGAGCGCGCGGAGCGGGAGTCCGCGCCGGGGCGCCGGCGCGCGCGCGGGGCGGGCTGCGGCGGGCGCTGGCCGAGGTGCTGAAGCGCCTGCGACCTGCGCGCCCCGGTCCACGCTCTCTCCCGCGGCTGCAGGGCCCGGCCACCTCAAAAGTTTTGACCCGGGGAACGGGTAAAGGGAGTGAGCGCTGAGAGAGGTGTGGAGACCTGGACAACGGATATGACATCACTACAGCTCCTGGGGGCTTGGGGGGGATATTTTGCGGGGAATTTGTTAACCAAACAAGGATCGACTCTCCAGCTCCAGTCCAGCCTGTGCTGGCAACGTGAGCTGCAGGGAAGTAAAGCGCCAGCCAGATACCGGATTAGGGAACAGACAGTGCCTGGAACCTTCTGCTGTCATTGACAGAGGACTTGGTATCATATTTATTGCTTTAAACAAAGTTTGCAGGGCAGACTGACAATGTGTATTTTCTTTCCAAGGCACAAAGCCTACCGCCGTTTTATATGCATATATGCACTGTCATTTATGAATAGCCTATTGAAACAACCTATTTGGTTAATATTAATGAGTATTTATCCACCTGGGGCTTTTGATCATTTGAAAATATCATACATAAATAAATGAAGAGGCTTTCTTTCTTTTTTTTCTTATAAATGGGATATTCCATTAGCGACTCCCCACCGCTGAAAGCTCTTCCCCGCACAGAGAGCGATACCCAAAAATATAATTTCCCCGCCAGTTTCACTCCTCTTTGTGCCTGAGGAAGAATTCGGTGATGGATGGACAGTGGGGTGGGAAAAGCGATCATTCTAAGCGTCCAAGTACTTCTGTTTTCCGGAGCTCAGGAGAAGAGGCAGAATAGCTGCCTCCTCAGGGCAGAGAAAGTGTGAGTGATTAACTCTCACGCCCGGCGTCGATTGTCCATTCTCAGGCCACCTGGTTTCTCTGAAGCTGGAAAACGGAAGTGCGCGGGGAGGCGCAAAGGTGGCGCAGCGACGGCCGCCGCGCTCTCGGACGCCTCCCTCTCCTCCAGCTACGCCTTTCATACTTTCTGGGCTACGTCTTATGTTGATTTTTCTAGAAATGATACTTCTAAGGATTCCAATATGTGAACTGGAGCTGTAAACCTTGCTTCCGCGTTTGTTTGTTTTTTTTTTTTAAAGATAAATTGCTTGAGATATCAGACACATGCTGTGTGTAAGATCTCCACCAGCCTTTACCTGAAAACGTCGTATTTTTTTTTAATACAAGACATCTCAGGATTCAAACACTTTTGAAGGTTACAACTGCCAAGGGTTTGTATCGCATTACATCTGTTTTACCCTGATATTATATCTGTGAGTTAATAAGAGGACAAATTCTATGAAACTTTGCCAGAGAAATGTGATAGATGATAGTACTTAAATACTGAACTAAGCAATGTATGGCAATTATGTTACAAATGAAAACAGATGATCTTAGAATACGGGCAACGCACTTGAGATAAGAGAAGCTTAGTCATTTGTATGGAACAATCAAGTTTAGTAATAAACCAAAAGACTCCTTTGCACATGCCACTGAAAAACAAAATCTGTAACTAAACATAAATTCACCAAGACCCTAATACTGCCTCTATTGCTCTTAAAATAAATGTGATAAAATTGCATGATTTTTCCTAAACATAATTCTGACAGTGTTTGTAGTTAGCCATTTGTTTTATAGTAAAGCTCTCTTACAGTTCCATACAATCCACTTGATGATGTTGTGGGCCACATCATACTTACTTGTGCATAGCAGTTTACACAACATTTCTCCTTGGAAGAAAGTCCATGAAGCTGCTTGCAGCTTGTGCCCTCTGTCAGCTGCTCCAGAGAGTTCTGTTACAGAAAGGAAATGGTGAATCTACTTTTGTTTTCACAGTCACTTCCAATAGGTTACTGTAACTTAAGCTGGTGACTGGAACTTAGTACAAAATGAAAAAAAGAATGCGTAGCATAGATGTTGAAATACTGTGTTTTCCAATACATGCCTAAGAAAATACTTGATATCTATGTATGTCAATAAAGATAGCCCTGGGTGCCAACAATGGGTATAAAATCGCTTTACAATTTAAAGTACTGCATAACTTTAGCCAGTGCTATTTAGAGAGGTAGGCCAAAAAAGGGGCCTATAGGAAATCCTGTACATAAAGACCCTCGAACAAAGAATGTAACTTTCTAAACATTTATGCCCAGTGCCAAAAAGTAAGTTCCTAATTCTATAATGAACTATATTTCAGCTGACTGTTTGGTGTGTGTTAGATTTCTTTTGATAAAAGACTGTGTGACATGCTTCTTTCATACATGTTAGATTGTACCGACATTCCAGGGATGTTCCCCTGTGTTAAAAAATGCTGTTATTTTAATTTTCATCCATCATTTAACATGGATGGACCTAGTTACTTTAGAAAAAATAAGATTATGCAGCAGGTTATATAAGCCTTGAGTCAGTTTCCACCCTCTGTTGTGCAAGTGAGGGTTGTCCTGGATTCACTTTGTCATGTCCTTGACCTGCCAGAGCCCTGCCACATTGTCCTTCTTTCCCCTCTTCTGCCCTCACTTACGGTCACTTCTCCCTTGCTTGCTTTTAAGCGATGTCTGTTCCAGGTCCCCTACCTCGCCACACTACCCTGTCTACAATAGCACCCCGATCCTCCTCTATTTATTTATTATTTTTAATTAGGTGGGCTATTTACTGTCTGTCTCCTTTATAAGAACCTATTCTCCATGAGGAAGGTTCTTTGTCTGTTTGCTCTTCTCTGTAATCTAATCACCCAGAGTAGTGCCCGGCACCTGGCCGTCACTTAATCAATAATGATTTAATGAATGAATGAATGAGTGAATTTCCAACCCTAATGCCTTCATGCCTGATATTTATATGCCCAAGGTTTGCTGGATGTCACTCTCTCAATTTCTTCCAGGCACCTCAAACTCAATATTACAAATCAATATTTTCCCCTCAATCATATTAGTTTGGAGCACATTTTTTTTCTCTCCATTGCAAAGCAAGATGCATGAAAGTTATCCTTTACCCCTGCATTCAATCCATCAACAATTCTGTTAATCTTTTCTCTGTAATATCTCTAAACCCATCTCCTTCTCCACATGCACCTAGAGCAGAGCCTCCTTCCACATCGTCTGAATTATTGCAACGGTTTCCCCCCCTGGCCTGACCCCCAGTGTTTCTCTCGCTTCGGCTGTCAGCCTTCAATTTAAAGACTAATTTAGCCACGTTGCTTATTAGAGGAAAGACCTGCAGTGTCTCCCTGCCTCCAACATGATCAGGTGAGGAATCCTCCAAATGGCTTGCCTGGGGCCCTGAACACGATGGCCTCTTGCCTTGCGTTTTCCATCTCATTTCTAACTGTGGTCTCCCTCTCATTTGAACCCAGTAAAGTTTTAATGCCTGTAGTTCCCTTAATACCATTCTCCTTTGTCATTACTAGCTTTTTGTTTACATGGGCAGTTTTTTTTACATTCTCTTAAATTTCATTTTGAATGTCATCTTAACCTAGGAATTCTTTCCTGTCCCTCCCGTAACATCTCTCAAGATTTTGCTTCTCAGTTTTTCCATAACGTCTTTTGCACGCTTTTATCGTTGTATATGTACTACATTTGATGATTAGAATCTACTTTGTGTCTTTCTTCTTCACTTGATGGTAAAGCTTGAGGATGTTGAGGTTGTCAGTCACAACGTAACTAACCCTTCTGGAAGGTGGTGATTTTAAACAAAAGCACACCATCAGCTCTCATGGCTCTGTGGTAATTCCTGCTTGCAGTTTCTTGTTAGATGAAACTGTTAGATGGAGGCCCACGTGGCTCACTCCCATGGCCGCCGTTGATGCTGGCTGTCAGCTACTTGCTCAGGTGAGGTTGTTAGACAGGCCACCTCATGTCCCCACTCTCTGTGGCTCGTGCTTTCTGCAGCATCACAGTGAGGTTCTCAGAGCACCTGAGAGCTGGTGTTCTAAGAGCCTTAGGCAGAAAGTGCAAGCAGGCTCCCCTAGCCTAGTGAAGAGAAAAGCACAATAGCTCAAAACAGCTAACTCATCCAAAACACCTAACTCATCCAAAACACCATGTCTGTTTGGATGTGGTATTTTTTTCTTGTGTGTGTGTGTGTGTGTGTGTATGTTTACAATGGAAAATAATTACAGAAGTCCCATTCAAGGTAGTCTGCGTTTATTGCTTCTCCCTCTAGTGATATTCTTAAACATAAAGAATATGAATTGTGAAGGATGTTGTATAAAGTCAGGGGAGCAGAGAGACCAAAGGAAATGAGGCTTCAATGAAATTGTGCAAAGGAACAGAGAAAAGAGTGTTAATGATGGAAAACAGTAGAGAGAAAACCGCGATTTTGGAGAGAGGGACCCGGAAACATTCCCTTGTGGACTGGGGGGTGGGTGGGGATTCTGCCCGTTGCGGCTCCAGCAGCGAGTCTGCAAGGGATTAATTAAAGCTCTGGGCAGAGGGCGGCTGGCCTCCTCTTCCTCACGGGCACCCCCGCCTGCCTGAGCAGACGAGCCCGATGGTTACCCACAGGAACACAGGCAGACAAACAAGACTCTTGTCTTACACACCCGCAGAGCATCTTGGGAGAAGGGGGAGGTCAACGTGAGCGTTGGCCGATCGATTGAAGCCCCCTCCGCTTAGCCCTCCCCGCGTCGCCTCCCCCCAGAACACAACCTGCCCGACTCTCGCTCCAAGGACACACAGAACGCCCAGATCTCCCATTTCCTTATTATTTTTCAGAATGATTTTATTTGCATGGGATATTTGACATGTGATAAATACTACAATAAGGTACAAGAGGTAACATCAGAAGCTGAAACTGACGCAGCATTACCGTCTGGGCTTTTCGTCGCTCACACCCTGCTCCTCTGGCCCCCCGGTCATCCGCGTTTTG